AAAAACAAGAAGACCAGACCACCACTCTATGTCTTTTATATTCAAAATTCTAACATCTTGTATCCTTGTTTTATGCGGGATGAGTGATACGTAAATTGCTTCTGAATAGGATTAAATCAGTACCACCATGAATAGTCATTCGTCTTGAATTCTGATGACCTACAAATACACGGGGGTGGGTTTCGGCATAAAACCTCCAACGCTCAAATCAGTTATCACTCGTAAGTATACAAAAACTATATGCAAAAGACGTAATAAGGTGTTATGTAAAAATAAATAAATAAATAAATAAAAACCTAGTAACCTCCTTTTATATGGAGGTTATATTTATGCAGTAATGCTAAAGAGACAACTGTTGGCTCCTTAGCATTATTGTATATTTATGTCCAAGCAAACTTCTTGCTAGAAAAGAGATCTTAGCATCAGTGTTTTAATACCGTACCGGTAATCATACCGGACGAGCCAACGGTACGCGGTTCAACCGGTTCGACCGGTATTACCGTCTATTTTACCGGTTTTAATAAATATTAAATTAATTTATTATTATAATATAAATGATGTACAAAACTAACTTTAACTAATAGTAAATTTAATTAACATCTAATAACAATGTAAACATATTAAAATTAAGTGTATAACTCATATAAATAAATTAATAAAAATATATTAAAAAATATTTTTTTTTAAAAAATGGTATAAACCAGTATTGTGACCGGGCCGGCATTTGCCGGTAAAACCGGTATTTTCCGGTATGAAACTTGTATAAACCGGTTTTTTGGCCAAAACGGTATTTGAAGTGTAACCGTACCGGTCGGACCACCGGTATCCGGTATTACCGGTAATACCGGCCGGTACGGTACGGTATTTAAAACATGGCTTAGCATATCTCCTTCTTAGTATAGCGCGTCTCTAAGATCTTATACTCCTTAGCGAGACAAACTTACCATCATTATTAGGATTTTACTCCCTCTCACAAGATGCTTCCAAATCAAAACCAAGACCTCCATTTACATGGCCTCCAGGTCGTAACATCCTCTCATCTGCCCAAGATCTACAAGGAGCTCAACCTGTCAATCCTCTGGTCAGTTCGACTCGTACCCTTAGCCGCCGAACTGAGCTCCCTGACGAGGTCAAGCTCTGACATCGAGTTGAGGCTCTTTGGAATCGGTTGCACCTGAGCTAACCACTCAGGCCAGTTCACCGAGCTATTCTGGATGCTACATTAATGGCGTGCGAGCAAGATCAACCATTCATACCACTACTAGATTCGACAGTCATGCCCACAATCAGACAAGAATTTCAATCAGCGAAGAAGACCTTTTGTTTCTATAATGAATATGCTAAAAATGCAGGCTTCAACACCATGATTCAATACTGCCAGAAAGATATAAAAACTGGCACAACTGTGGAAAAAATGTATTCTTGCTCTAAAGAAGCAAAGACAAATATGTCGTACCAAAATAAAATCACATGTGTGGTGGCATAAGCTGAAAATGGAAAAAGGATGACACTAGTTGGAATTGTCCAGCTCGAATGAGGATGCAAAAGAAAAAAATGAAGTTTGGGTGGTGAAGCATTTTTGGAGATACATAATCATCCTTTCGCTACTCCTATGAAGGTGCTCATGTTAAGATCACATCAAGGTGTGTCAGCCACTAAAAGGGCGCTTGTCGAGGAATTCACAGAGATAAATATCCCAACAAGCAAAGAAGCATGGTTTTGAAAATCAAACCGGTCATCGAACTGGTGAAACTACTGGTTCAATAGTTCACTGGTCGGACCAGTGGTCGAACCAGTTTAATGAATATACAAGTTTTTATTTATTTTATATGCATAATATATAATCTTATATATTTTTATCATTAATTTTATAGTGTGTGTCGTTTCTCTAAATAAGAATTCAATAATAAATACAACCAACAATTTTAAATAATGTTGATAACTTTTTTAATTTTATTTTTTTATATTTTACTATATATTTAAGTTACAAAATATAGAAAATAGAAACAACTCTATTTTAATTTTTAAATCATATTTTAAATTTAATTGCTTCTTTCTTCTTTAATAAATTGAGAGTAGATATAGCCCAATAGATAGCTCATATAGAAAATAGTACATTTTTCTTTTAATGAACACAATTTTGCTTGTAAGGCCCAATATTGGTCCAATCAATTCAAACAGGACCTTTATATGTTAACATATCTCACATTGGAAACACAAGCAAAAAAGGTGTGATATTTAAACGGCATCACAATCAACTCTTAACAAGTTCAAAACCCACAACCGTTGAACCGTTCAAACCGATTCGATTCACCGGTTCAACCGATTTTGGACCGGTTCGAACGGTTCAACTGGTTTTGGACCGGTTCAACCGGTTCGGACCGGATTGAAGGCCGGTTCCCAATTCCACCGGTTGAACTGGCCGGTCCGGTCCGGTTTTCAAAACCATGCAAATAAGTGAGATTGTTTGAAATAGGTTCTGATGGTCCCTTTATGATGGATTGTTTGGAGAAGGATATTAGAAACGCAAAAGCAACATGTAATACTGAATTGAGTGGACATGATGTGCACATCTTGATTCATCAATTTAAAATGAAAAAGGAGAGAAATGGAACTTTCTACTACGTTTATGAGTCCGACAATAAAGGTGTTTTCATTAGGTGTTTTTGGGTCGATAATGAATCAAAGAAATCATATGCATCGTTCGACAATGAAATTGTCTGTGATACCACATATGGCACGAATAGTTACGTAATGATGTTTGCACCTTCTGTTGGTGTTAATCATCATAGACAAACCACCGTGTTTGGTTGTGGATTACCTAGTGACGAGAAAATATAATCTTTTATTTGGTTATTCTCTTAATTTGTAGATGAAACGACCAACCGACCACATTCACATGTTATTATTACTGATTATGATGCCGCTATATCAGTTTGTTGTGGCTGAGGTATTTTTGAGGTATTTCGAACACTGTGCATCAATATTGTATTTGGCATATTTTGAATAAGTTTTCATAAAAGCTCGGTCTTGTTCTTCATAAGGCACACTATCATACTTCAAGTGGGATGATTAATGACTCTGAAATTCCCAATGAGTTTGAGCACATGTGGATCTCGTAGATGATTAATTCTTAATTGAACAGTAATGAATGGTTGTCAAAGATGTATGATGCCGTCATCGTTGGGTTTCGGCTTACATAAAAGGTGTTTTCGATACCGGTATGTCTAGTAGCTAAATAGTCGAGAGTAGGGTTCTTCATGAGACACTTGGATAGAAAATGCTCATTGAATGAATTTTCACTCGTTTTAATAGGGATATTGCCCATAAGAGACATGAACAATTGATGACTAGCCATGTTGATCTTAATGAAAACCCAAGGATTAATTCTTCATTTTCTATGAAAAAACAAATGGTTGATGTTTACATGAAAAAAATATTTTTGTTATTCTAGAAAGAGTTTGAAAAAAGTGTGAGCAGTATATGAAAAATGGTCTCGTATTCTGATTGTTCCCGATTTATGAGGTTTGGCGATTTTTGTTCTCTTGCCTATTGTTGTGACATTGCAGAAACTCTCTCTCTTTTTCTTGAGCTCCGAAGATTGACCATTCAAACTGAACTCGATCAAGTGACTATTAACTCTCTCTGTATCCTTAAACTTACGAGAATTTGTGTAATTCTACATTTCTACTCATCAGAAGAGAAGTAAGTAGAGAGGCAGACGTGAATAAAGATAAATTTGGAAAAGAATGAAGTTAGTGGATTTTTTTTTTTCTTTTTCTTTTGTCACAATGAAATTAAAAATAGGCATGAATTTGATGTTAAATGACATCTTGTTGGCACATAAATAGATGACTATATATCAAAAACCATTGAAGGCTTCATAGAATAATACTAGGCTTGTAAACGAGTCGAGTCGAGTTTGAGCCCTTAACGAGCAAATCCCAGCTTGGTTCATTAAATAAACGAGCCTGAAATCGAGCTCCAGCTCGGCTAATTTATCACTAATAACAAGCCGAGCTCAAGTCTTAACGAGCAGATCTCGAGCTTTAACGAGCCGAACTATAGAAAATTATATAAAATATTTTTTCGATCCTTAATGAACTTTATCGAGCCATGTCGAGCTCGGTTCATTAACCAAACGAGTTTTAAATGAGCTTGAGCTCGACTCATTTATCAAACAAGTCGAACCGAACTCGAGACGAGTTGAGTCGAGCCAGCGTATGCCAAAGCGGTCATAGTAAAAGATAATATTTCTTTTGACATTTTTGTCATCAAGCAATCATCATGTTTGGAGCAGACAAAACACAAAGTAAAGAGTTAGAGAAATGCTATTGATACCTAATATTGTACATAGAAGTACATATAACACTCTCATTGAGTGGAACCGACTAAAAATAAAAAGAGAAATGTTATAGGTACATAATATTGTACATAGAAGTGTACATCGTGACCTACCTAAAATAAAAGATAAAATGGATCTCACTTTATGTGAGTGTTATGTACACCTCTATGTACATTTATTATGTACTTGTAGCATTTTTTCAAATAAAAAATCAAGTGAACCCTATTCCATGTGAGTGCTATGTACACGTCTATGTATATTTATTATGTACTTGTAACATTTTTCTTAATATTATCCAACTAACGTTCGTTGTAAATTAAGTTTGGGGTAGACCGGGTACTTCACCCGGCCAGGGTTCGAACCGAAAACGT